GACATGGCAACATGAGAGATAGAGGAGTTACTGAGGTGGTAACCGTCGATGATGTGGTGGCTCACAGTGATGGGCACATGGCGATCATGTGGATGAAGGGATGACATGGCGGCATGGGAGAGAGAGGAGAATGTGAGGTGGTAGTCATAAACATGACACGTGATGGCGATCAATGATTGCTATGTGGTATTTTAAATTTCTGTCACCAAGACGGATTATTGATGGAAATTTCTGTCACCAATTTGTGATGAAATTTTTTATCACAAATCCATCACTAATTTATGAAATTTTTTTTGCAAGATATCCTTCTCTAATTAGTGACAGGTTAATTTCTATTGCTAAACCGTCAGTAATCCGTCGCTAATTAGAGATGAAATTTTGAATTCCATCACTAATTATTTAGTGACGCTGGAATTAGTGATAGAAAAAATTCCGTCGCTAATTTTGTTGCTAACTAAATTCTGTCACTAATGCGTCGCTAATTTTGATTGGGGACGAAAATTTCGTCGCTAATTTGATGTTTTTTGGTAGTATATTCGTATAAAGATAAATAGTCACTATAAGAGGAGATTATTTAGATAAAGATGTTTATAATCAGTATGTCATGTTTTCTAATCAATGTGATTTTTTTTCCACATGAAATTAGCATTAAATGATTATATGAAAAAAGTTATAAAAAAAAAAAAGAACATATGACAAATTACGGTGGAGAACTTGATATTATAATTGTAGGAAAATTGACCTAAGTGTTTTTTAACAATTGGCACAAAAAAAAAAAAAATTGGGCACATCGGCATGGTGGAGACTTGTGAGCTGCATAGCAAATAACTATACAAAATTAAAAAGGGGTCCCGCAAAGGGAAGTTCACAAAAAGAAAAAGTGGCATTATCAATTTAGGAATCTCATTGTAAAGGGAAGTTCAAAAAAAAGGAAAAGATAGTATTATCAATTTAAGAATCATATTTTCATTATCGTTACATTATGTGGCCTAGAAACCCCATAAAATACGTTAACTGATTGAAAGCTTGACTTGTGAGAAGGCCTTATCACAGTTCATTTTACACCGAATGAGTCTCTCTCTCTATATATATATATATAATGACTTAACACACAACTCTTTTTTCTTTAAGGTGTACGAGAAAAATGAAAAGAAGGGATGGGGAAGAAAAATTTTGATGAGTTTAATTTAAAAAATTGATGAAATAGGATTAAAAGTTTTTAATTAAGTTTTATTACTATTTATTTTGCATTTTTTTATCAAAATGTTATAATCCAACTTTTTTAATTTTTTAAATTAAATTCATGAAAATTTTTTCCCTTCTCCTCCTCTCTATTTCCCTCATATCAAATATAGGGTAAAGCATAATTGTCTTGAATTCACCTCTAAAATAATAAAATAATAAATAAAATAAAATTAATTTGGCATCATCTCACAAGAAAAATAAAATAAAATACTCCTTCGATACTTAACGTAGAAATTAATTTGTAACTTAATACTGATCATATACGTAAGACTTATTTTATATTATTGTTAATTTTTTTAAAATTAATTCTATTGATATTCGGTTAACAATGATTAAGTAGGAAAGAAAATGAGTGAATTAAAAAATAATAATTATGATGTTTCAAAAAAAATATTATATTAACTTATTTAATTTATATTTTTTGTCTATAAAAATTAATTAATTAACGAGCCCGCCCGTCAAAGGTGGTTGGCTACAAAGGAGATCAATTATTGAATGGGAGCAAAACACCTTTGGCCCATGCATAATCATGACTTCACTTTTCCATTTTTCTAAAGATGGCTCAAATTTTTCACATGGATTTCGTCTCGTTCAGAAAAATTTTGATAATATGATTGGTATGACCTGTAAATAAAAATGTTCATCAATCATTAATAAGCCCTCCAGAGTATTCAAAGGATTTATAGCCAGTGAATGCTTGGGATTGCTTTTCTTTTGTTTTTTTTTTTATGTAGCATAATTAAAATTATTTAACATTTTTTTTGTGAAAAATGCCACTTATTTAAAGTATGATTGTGTTGTTACGTTTTGATTAAGAATCTTATTAAAGAGAAGTGAAACAAATAAAAAGAGGAAGTTAACTTGGTTTTTTTGTTTTTATTAAATTGAAATCCTCTGTTTTCAAGTGAAAGCAGTGTGGAAGTCTGATCCTATGGATCTTTCTACTTTTATCATGCAAGATAGCTTATGAAAGTAGTTAATGAAGGAGCAATATCCAAAAGCTGATATATAGCAATTCATGTCTGAAATTAAAACATATATATAGTCCTCCATAATTTAAAGCAGCATTGCAATTGAAAATATGAGAAATAACAGAGTTCATAGGAAAATAATTAGATTAGAGTCATGGGCCCAACTCATACACATTAAGAAAAACATTATAAATAACATTTTTTTAGAAGAATACACTAAGACTAATTGGAATAATTAAATATGTTACTCTTTAACAGAGGAAGTGGTTCTATAAAGCGTGAACTGAGTATATACTTTAATTGAAGAAATTTTCTTACTAGAAGAACTTGAGGAAGGTTTTAGAATGATAAAAATGAAGTTAAATTTTTGAGTGGTAATTGAGGGCCCTCTACATTATTGTCAATGGTTTGTCACACGTGGAAAAGAATCCCAAAGAAAGAACAAAGAACTCAGCAGCGCCTAACAATTTCTATCCAATTAATTATCAAATTGACAAATGGTAACATTGTGCCACCGTTAATTTTGCGATGCCTAATTCATCTTGAAAATAAGTTTAAATACATAATCACTTGGATTCAGATTCAATTTTGTCTTAAAAATTGCGTAGGAATTGTTGGCATCTGGAAATTTTTGACTATCAATGTCGCTCAAAAAATATTAAAAAATAGCAAATCTACTATAACCGTTGAAAAACTAACATTAAGCTAATGTTGATTGTTAATATTTTTAATGATATGGGTAACATTGCTCCTTTTCTAAGGTTCATATTTATTACTCATATTTATTTAAATCATAATACATTTTTATTCATTTATTTTTGTGAATTATTAAATATCTTTAATAATTCCATTACTCTATAAGGTTAAAATGTATTTTTTTATTTAATTATATTATATTCTTTTCTTAAGGGTGACATGCTAAAATTGCACAATTTTTCAACATATTTTCATCCAACCAACCATAAAATTTTTCATCAATTCATTTTTCATTTTGGTACCTGCCAAACAGGCTTTTGACCGGAAATTTTCCATTTCCTCCTTTTTCATTCTTGTCCATTCCAACCGATTTTTCCTATGAATCAGACGCTTAAAAAAGTGCTTCAGCATATTTGTTCTTGTCTTGTTAGATTGAATAAGTATTTATTTGGCAAACTCCCATAATCAGGAAACAAAATTAAAAAAAATAAAACTATTCATATGCGTGCGGAGCTCTAACATCTTGTTCCATCTTTTTCATGGCCTTCTTTTGCATGTACCCGTAAATATGTGTTTATTTTTATCATTTCTCTTGGCGTTTTAATTTATTTTTAATAACTTAAAATCAAATAATTTTATTCTCTTATGTATTTTAAAATATTATCTTTATATTCTTTAATTTTCCCAATTTGATATATATATATCCAATCAAATTGTATAGGAATTACCGTCTAAATACGACCTAACAGAACAGTGTAATGTTGGCTCCAGCAATCAAAAAGAAAGCATTATTTTCCGCCCACAAGTCACTTTTTAATCATCCACCTATTGCATTTACTCTCCTTTGATTTGAATAAAAATCAATTTCCTGAAAAAAAAAGAATAAAAATCAATTTGTACTGTCAGTGGTGAATAGGACTCACATCCACCGACTTTCACTGTTTGTTTAGGGTCTATTTGAGCCATTTCAGAGCCAATAGCCTCTCTCTGTTCACCAAATCACCACTGTTCTGCAGTTTGGATTCCTCTCACCAATTTGTGTGTAAAATTAAAAGTATTAGAATATACTTAGGGCCTGTTTGGGTGCCTCAAAACCGTGGTTTCAGAAGTATTTTTTTGCAAAACGAGATAACTTCCTCCACATATTTACTTTGTAATCTGTAAAAGCACTTCTGAAACTATAGTTTTGTTTTTATCCAAACACCCTCTTAAAATGACGAATGAGAATGGAAAAGTCATCAATGCCTTTAGTTGGAGGAGGGCCCATCTCTCCGGTGATAGCGTTTATTCTGTTTTTTACTTTTGAGCTGGCATTGCCATTCTTTGGTTGAAATATTGGCGGCTAGTACATAATTTTTGAATTAATGTGCAATTTTTACAGTCTGTAAATGAGGTTGTACGAAAGAATATCACAAGTAATTATAATAAGAAGTGGAGTGGTAATTCAAGGTAAGTACTATGAGCATATAGCCTCTCTGTGTTCACCAATATACCACCACAGTTCCTGCTGCTTCAGTTCCATTTGGGTTGTCGATCATCATCTCTCCCACTTGTTTGAAGTTTCTGTTATTATTCTTCTTCCACGATCTTCTTGTTTGTTTGTTGGATCCTTCCTTTTGATCGTTTCTCCCTTGTGCTTCGTCTTTAATACTTTGTTTGCCCTCCTCTGTACTTCGATCCTCTCCTTTCACTTTCTTCTCTACTTCCATCCATCGTCAAGACATTGACATAAAAAAATTGTGTGCTCTTCTTTTCAGTTCTTTTTATTTGTCTTTCTTTTAAAAAAAAAATTCAGCAGGGTACCTGTCCCTCAATCGTTGCTGTTTTCATTTATTGTTAAGAAAAGGAAAAAAGAGGGATATCCAATTCCATCAAAAGCATCGTGCAAGCGGAGAGGCGTTGACATCTGAGGATATATAAGAGGTAAGTATTTGTACTCTCCACTTTGAAATTTGGACATGATTATATCCAATTTTCACGTGATTATTTTTATTTTAACTTTTTATGTCATTACAGCGTAGGTTATTTCCTTAATTTTTCTCAACATTTGAATCAATATGTTGTTTTTTATTAGAGTCAAAGCAAGAATAAAAAGAAGAGCCCTCTCCGATCAGAGGGCTAGAAATACTTGCACAAGAGGTATGTATACAATTTCATACAGTGATATTATAAGCTCTCCAACCACATTGTTTTTTTTTAATGAATATTACAAAAATTAGTTAAATTAGTTATTTATAATATATTTATTAATTATTTGTGTTGAAATAATTCTTATAATTACCATAGAGATTACTTTGGGACAAAATAGATAAATATAAAAACAAAATGAATTGAAATCTTATATTTAGAATTAAATTAAATCTCTAATTAAACCTTATATTAATGATTGGAGACAATAAATTAGTAATAAAATTTAGTGACCAAATTTTATTCTATCGCCAATTTTATGATTAAAATTATTGATAGGATTATTTTGTCGTAAACAATCCGGTCCTAATTTATCACTAATTTCGTCACAAAATATTTAGTAACAGAAATTAGTGACATGTAAAAGCTCATTGCTATCTTTAAAATGACCAATTCCTATTTTGTAACTAATTTATTGAAGTAACATTTACGTCACTATTCCATCTCCAATTGTTATCGCTAAAATACTTGTCACGAAATAAAAATATTCCGTCACCAATTTCATGACTATCTATCCTTCATCCAATGGAATCCCCTCCCTCCGCGTTACACCTTCCTTCCCTCCGTTCCAGCTAATGGTGACAACTAAGCGAGGAGGGGAAATAATAGAAAAAGAAAAACTTTTGTTGTGACCAAGGAAAATCACTGACAAAGTGCATTAACCATGTCCCTCTGTTTTACGTAGATTATAGAAACTTCTCCATTATTTTTTAAAATTGTACATAAGTATCTTTTGAAATTAAAATATACGTTACAAAATTTTTTTCCTATATTTAAAATTCTATTTATATCTATCCAAATGTTAGTTGACTGTTGAATTTGGCTCTTAAAAAATTTTCTTTTGACAAAAAATACGCCTCTTTAATATAAAAATTATTTAAACATTTATACTGGTAAAAAAACTAATTTTGTATACATAAAAAATAATTTTAATACACATACTTTCAAACTCTCAAATATGGTATAAAATTAATTAAATTTGATTATATTATAAAAGTTTATAATTTTAATTTTTCGTCAGACTTATTGAAACATATTTATTTATTTTTTTAAATGGTTAAAAATATTTCAAACACATATTTGTTCATCATATAGTACAAATGATATAAGTTCAAGAAATTACATAAATAATTTAAATCTATAATTGAAAAATTTTAAATAAATTTTTTGTTACAAACATTTATAAATATATTTAGTCAATTATATATTTATTTAAAAATTAAAAAATCAAATTCAGGAAAATCAAATTATTTGCAATGACATTCTATAGTTGCGGCTTATGATGAACCAAGCAGATTTATGGTTTTTGAGTTCTCCAATTTTTGATTTGTGGTCTTTAACAATAAGCTCTGATATTTGCTTAACTTAATAAATTTATTAACTAAGGTAGATGTTTATATTATTAGATATTTCAATTTAAACATACTATAAACTCACAAAAGAAACACATAAATATTATATATATATATATATATATATATATATATATAATCTTCACCAAGCTACCTTCTCCTGAGTATCTTTCGGGGTTGTCCTTTATGGGTGGGAATAGGTTTTTTAGCCGAGCTCGAGGAAAGAGGAGGTTTGATGATCATCGAGTAAGTAATAGAGTTGATTCTCAAGGCATTGATGTGGAGGATTTGAATGGTTTTTTCAAGTACGGAATAGATAGTGCCGTGTCTGAAGAGGTTTCAACATATTCTACTTGATCATCTCTGGTTTTGCTTTCTTCTTCCTTTTACACACTACTGTTAGATGGCCTTCCATTTCTCTTCTTGTCTCATAATAAGGTTGGTTCATTCTCCATGCTCCTGGTTAGGAAAGGTGGTTATCGTGGTTCTTGGTGCTTGCTTCTGGTAGGTTCCAAAGGCTTCTTAAAAGGTGTGAGCTCCGCATGTCTCTGTATTGAGCTGCTGGGCTTTGATAATCGATGGGCCTTTTCTTCCTTTGTTTTTCTTTTTCTGAGACTACTTATCGTGTCAACCAAAAACTTATTAGTCAGGCCTTATTAGTTGGCTTGGTGTTTTTTTATTTCCCAATTGTGAGATGCTATGTTGCTTAACACCCAATATGCACCCAGGGTCGTATGCTTCACTTGAATTAACTTCCTAATTAAAAGGACAATGAGGTACAAGTTAAGCCACCCTTGCTGTCCTTACACACTGCCATGGGCCCATGGCCAGATATCTCGGGCAAAATGGTCCCTAAATTTCAGTTCTATCAGTAGTGGGATGGAACTCAATTTGATCATTTCTTATGGAACCGGGTTCCACGACAAAGTGAGATCCACAGTACCAGACACCTCAAAATATGAATTCCACCTCCCTCCCTCCAATTCCTTATAACCAAACGAGGCATCAAGAAACCCCTAATGTGTAGCTCAATTTTAGTTGAGAGTTAATTCCTCTCAAGATAAGTAACTAACAAGTCACAACCTAGATCACCAATCACCCAAAAGTCATTGAGGCAATTGCACAAACACCTTACAAGCAATCTTATCAAGCAAATGAAAAAGAAGAATTCAATTTCAGCACATAACTATCGAGTGAATCACAAAATGAGTTTAAAAATCTTGAATCACAAATGCCTCAATTGAAACACCTCTTTCTCAGTTACAATTACAAACTCACACCGGAATTCAGATAACTACAACTAGAGAAGACGAGATCAAGAATAGAGAAAACAACTCCCCTATGAAGAACATAGGTCAAGCATAGTCACACCACTCCGAGGGTTTAATGGTTCAGCCACGCATCACGGATTCTTCAGCTCCAACAAGCTTCTTCAAACACGCCATGGCTGATCCAAGAGAGAAGAATTCGAACTGCAATGATGGTGAGGGAGAAGGATGGTGTGTGAGTTGAGTGGAGAAGGAGAATAATGATCGGTGTAGAATTGGAATTAGATGGAGAATTGATGGACGAATGATGGGGCTGGATGGAAGAGGTGAAGAACACGCTTGGGAGAATATAAGAGCTAAAAGAAAACGAAGGGGCGTGGCTGAATGACCATATGTTATATCCCGATCTTTTTTCTCTTTCTGGACTGAACATCCCGAGCTGGATTTGGGAGTGAATTAATTAATAGAAGTTAAGAGCGTGTTTGGGATTTGCAATTGAGATAGGTCTCCCAAGGATTAGATCTCAACCTAAACCTGCAAACAAGGCCGCTTGCTAAATAAGTCTCCTTTCCCTGTTTTTCCTTGTGGATAAAATACACAAGCCACTCTTCTATTTTATTTAAATTACATAATTCTTTTATTATGAAAACATATATGAATCTTCATTGAAATTAAAAGATGTAAGGTGCACACACCCTCTTTATATATTTAAAACTTTATTTCCATTCATTCAATAGTAAGTTTAACTCTTAAACTTTTATTTTGATCAGAATACCCCCTTAATATAAAAATTATTTAAACATTTATATCTGTTAAAAAATAATTTTTATACATCAGAAAAATATTTTTCTTACATATATTATCAAATATATTAATATGTTATAAAATTTCTTAATTTTGACTATGTTATAAAGTTTTATCATTTTAATTTTTCATCACTTATTTATTTAATTTTTTTTTTTAAATGACTGAAAAAAATATTTCTCCCGCTAAAAAAAATATTTGTTTAAATTTTTTCTTTTTTATGTATCGTCGTTTTATGCTTTAATTAATAAAGTTCTCCCTTATTATACACACACACATATATTTTCTTATATTTATTTTTATATTTTTAATTTTCCTCACCTTTTTGTTTCAAATTTATATTGACTTCAGCTTTTACCCGATTTTTCTCTTTAGTTTCGGTTCTCTCCTTTACCCGACATATGTGTGTGTGTGTGTGATTTTCACTTCTTCCCTGTCATATACTTCACTTTTTGGCTTGTTAATTGATTGATGATTTAATGATATTTTTGCATTTCCAACTTGTGTCTTAACAAATCCCAACAAAACACTTTTAATCATATAATTAATTATAATAGCACCCCCTTTATTATTCGGCACGCTAGCTCTTTTCTGCTTCTGCTTTCTGTAATTTCTGTGCTCTTCCTCTGTTTTTGCTTTCATTTCTCTCTTCAATCACTAAAACCTTTTGATGTTTTTGTGTTCTTCCCCCAAAAAAAAAGATTTAGAGTTTTGTCTTCTGTTTCAAAGTTTGTCCATTGAAGGAGCCTGTATTTTTTAAACTTTGTTTTGTGTTAATTTGAATTATTTTCTACTTTAATTTTGGTTGATCATCGTTATCGTTGTTTATAGAAAACCCAACGAAAGTTTGTGTTTAAATTTTCTTTTCTCCTTAATCGTTGTTCACGTAGTCCCCTTATCTTAAAAAACAAAAAAAACAAAAAGAGGCCTTTATATCCAAGGCATCTTTTGAGAGGTGAGTATTTGTACTCCATTATACGTATGAATTATATTTATATCTTTTTTTTAATACATGTATATGTGCGTGTGTAACACACACATTGTCTCTTAAACTTTCTTTAACTTATTTTTATTTTTCAGATCTTTAGTTGGTCACCTGAAGCCTGCTTGAAGATTTTGGATTCCTGTTAATTTCCAGGTTAGTATGTGTACAGTTTTAATTGTAGTATTATTTATAAAAAATTTTACAGCTTTCTTAAACTATCAACTCAGGTGCGGGTTATGTATACTAAATAATTTATCTCCTAAACATCTTCAGTTTTATTTATCAAATCCTGATTGGGTACATGAAACTTACAGATTTGTGATTTTTGTTGTCATTTTAGACCAAAATAGAAAGGAAATTGAAGGGGGGAAAAAGGAAGATTGCCATTACCTGTTTTTTTGATAGCTTATTTACTTTAATTATAAGTTAGGGAAGGCTTTTGTGCTTGAGTATTCAAATAAAGTTTTAAATTAGGTTTATTATCCGTAATACTGCATCTCTCTATAGTTTTACTACACCGGTGATTATCTTCAAATAAAGCTAATTCAATTTCAGTGCTGCTTACCGTTTGGACCATCAAAATAAATATGATCCATGTTTAATATATATTATTTTAACTATTTTTTATTTTAATAAATGTATGATTTAAAATTAAATAATCTTTTAATCCTCGTTTTGTTAAAAAATCAATTTATTGTTTGAAAATTTAACTTTAAATATATGAAGTTAACTTGGAAATATTAAATTATTATTATTTTTATATAAATTTACATGTAAATTTAAGAAGTTAAATTTTGCTTGTAAATGTGCTATGTTTCAATTTTGTAAATTATAAATTTACTATTTTATTAAAAGTATTTTTGACCGTGCAGCGGTTGTTGGTGGTTGGTCAGCGCATTTTTTCTTTTTTTTAAAACCATTGTCACTGGAAGTTAAGGCCAAGGGATATGTGCAACATTTTATATCAAGTTTCACGAAATTTGAAAATATCTTGTACTCCTCCGGTCCTAATTATAAGACCCAATTGATTTATTTGAGGAGATTAAAGAAGTAAGTTAATATGGTTATTTATAATAAATAAGTGTTGTTATTCCTAAAATATCCTTGCTAATTAAGTATATTGGTTAAAATTATCATTATTAGAAGGATTATCTTGGAAAAAAATGCATAAATATAAGAGACAAAATGGATTGGGGTCTTATAATTAGGACCAAATAAAAAGTCAAATTGGATCTTATAATAAGGACAGGAGGAGTATATTATTTGCTGGGTTCAAATCTTTTTTTCTGCCTAATCGTTGTTCTCATAGACTCATAATTGCTCTTCTCGAAAAAAAAAGGCTTTTACAGCAAAACAAAAAAATAAATTAAAGATTTTGTAGGATGAGGGGCCAAGTAGTAAATAAGATTTATTTTGATGTATTTTTTAATTTAAAATATACTTTTAGAATATTTTAAAATATTCTTTGATAGTATTAACAGTCAGGACTAAAATATAAAATGTTAAATTATATTTTTAGTCATTTAACTTTATACAATGTTTCAATTTAATTCTTTAACTTTCAAAAATATATTTTTGGTCATTTAATCCTAAAACCGTTAATAAAAAAGGATAATATTGATATTTTAAATGTTAATAAAATATTATTACATGTTAACATATTAAGTTTAAATTTTAAAACAATCACGATTACTACAAAAACTTATCGTTTAAAATTAATAATTTTAAAATTAAATGACTAGAAATACACTTTAGCCAATATAAAAATAAAAAGGGGTGCATGTGTGGTTAAGGTGAAATAAAAGGATAGTTAGGATATTTTAATTAAAATAAAAAATGTGTTTTACTAACTAATAAATCATCTTCTTAGATCTACAAATCATCTTCTTAAACTTACAAGCGGACCTAATTATAAGTGCTCTTTAACTTATTAAGTTATAAACTTTGAAGTTGGTTTATAAATTTATGGAACAACTCATGAACTTAAGAAGTTGAACGGCAAATCGATTTGTAAAAGAATCAATAAAAACATCATGTAAATTTACTTATAAATCTATTAGCTTGAGTGTTAAATATTAAAGTATCAATTTTTTTAGACATTTACTTGTAAATTTATAATGTACTGTTTGACTGGTACATTAGTATAAATTAAGTATTTCAATAAAAACATTTTAAGGAAATTTTTGACCAGTCAAAAGTTGTCAGGAGTCAATCAACACCCATCTGTCAAAGGCAAAGGGCACACATGACATTTTGTAAGTGAAATTAATTACAATTGACTCACAAGGAACTCTTGAAAATATTTATTTAACAAATTCGTTGGCACTTACTTGTAAATAAATCCCTTATTTGGGACATATATAATATTTTCTTTAGTCATGAAATCCTAGTTAGGGAGATCAAAATAAAAGAAATAAAAAAATATGTAGGAGAAAAGGAGAAAGAACAAAAAACGCACTCTAAGAGTAAGAACATTCTCGTAGGTTCTTTAAACTAAGTTTGCATGCATAACGTTCCTTTTGATGTAGACTTTCGTGAGAATTATTTTTCTTGTATGCTATCTAGAATATGGTAGGTGTAGTTGAAACATTTATAATAGTAGTGTAGCCAACAGTCCCTAATTGCATCGCATATCCGTGCATGTTAGATGGCGGCAATAGGAGAGGGCGTGGCCACCCATGTCGCGGAATCATTGGTAGATAAGGCAATGAAGGAACTCAAATACTTGTGTTGTTACAACACCTATGTTAATGACTTCGACGAGGAGAAGAAAAGTTTGAGTGCAAGAAAAGAAACAGTGCTTAAAGATATTGAAGATGCCAAGCACCGAAATGAGAATAATGTTGGAGATGAAGTCAAACTGTGGTTAGAAAGAGCCAATGGTTTCATAGGAGAAGACACAAAAGGAAAGAAGAAATGGTTTGGTTTGGTCACTAATTGCTTTTGGCAGTACAAGCGAGGCAAGGAGCTGGAAAGGAAGACGCAAACGATTAAACGACTGATGGAACAGAGTAACTTCGCTCGTGTTGCTCGATCAACTGGGCTTCCAGGCATGGAGTTCTATTCTTCTTCAAATTTTATGACTTTTGAGGATAGAGAGTTGGTCTCTCAGAAGCTGAAGGAGGCATTGAAAGACGACAATAGGTTTATGATTGGATTGTATGGGCTAGGCGGAACAGGGAAAACCACAATGGCAATAGAAGTAGGTAAAGATGTCGAGGAATCAAAGTTGTTTGATAAAGTCATCTTCAGTGTTGTCTCAAAGGATGTAAGCTTGAAAAAGATTCAGGGCAACATTGCAGAACACTTAGATTTGTCTTTAAAGGAAGAAATGGATGAATCTCAACAAGCACAAAAATTGTGGAAAAGAATAGCAGAAGGTGGAGAAAAGGTACTTATAATACTAGATGACATGTGGGAAAAGCTTACACCGCGAGATATAGGGATTCCTCTTGGCCGTCATGGCAAGGGTTGTTGTGCTGTTTTGCTGACCACACGTGATCGAAGAGTTTGTATAGATATGGACTGCAATGAGCCTAGTCAACTTGAGGTCCTAAAAGAAAAGGACGCAGTTGATCTTTTCCTATCTTATGCTGGCATGAGCATAGATGGTCCTTCCAATGATTTTAAGGATGTGGCTAGAGATATTGTGAAGGAGTGTGGAAATTTACCAATTGCAATTGTAGCAGTGGCAAGTGCACTAAAGTCTAGGCCTTTACCAGAATGGCAGGATAGTTTGAAAAGATTGCAGAATCATGAGGGAATTCACGATGTTGACAAAGAGTTAAAACAGGCTTATAACTCTTTGAGATTAAGCTATGATTATCTCAGGAATGAAAAGGCCAAACAACTCTTTCTCCTGTGCTCTCTCTTCCCTGAAGATTATGAAATACCTATAGAACTTTTAACTAGAATTGCTATAGGTCTTGGGCTTTGTGGAGAAGCTAACAAATACTCTGTTGCAAGAAGTCATTTTACTCCAATTAAAAATGTGCTCATAGATTCTTGTTTATTATTAAAGGCTGAGAATGAGTGTGTCAAAATGCACGACTTGGTTCGGGAGGTAGCTCTATGGATTGGAAACAAACAGGTTCAAGTGGGCTATAATTCTAACTCAGCTTTAATGGAAAACATCCAATATTCATCTTGGAACATAGTTGACTTTCCGAATCATTTTGATGGCAAAAAACTTGAGGTTCTTTTACTTTGGATAAATGATGCAAATTCTCCGAGGGTCAAGGTTCCCGATTCTCCCTTTGAAGGGATGGAGAACCTTAAAATTTTGGCTTTAATGAGTTCGTCAGATTTGGAAATTTCAGCTGCTTCCTTATTTCAATCGTCTTTGTCATTGACAAATGTTCGAACTTTGGCCATAAAGAATTTTCAGTCATTAGGAGATATATCTATTTTGGCACATCTAAAAGACCTTGAGAGCCTTGAATTGAACAATTGTTTGATTATTGAATTGCCAAAAGAAATTAAAGAACTTCAAAAATTGAGATTGTTGGAGATGGTGAACTGTTCTTTTACTGGAAGAAATAATCCTTTTGAAGTGATTGGAAATTGCTCAGAGCTAGAGGAGGTGTATTATGTGTCAAATCATGTGGCCGGTTATTGCGGGCAAATCACCACACTTCCTGCATTGCAAAAGTATCATATAAGGGGTTGGCATCATTTTGATTTTTATAAAGTGGATTTTTCAGTATCTAGATATTTTGATTCACGGGACTTAAGAGTAGAATTCTCCAAGGAAATATTTAAACTCCTGGTGGCGGGAGCAGAAATTTTGATGTTAGGAGAAGATTACTACAACAGAGGATGGACAAATATTGTTCCTGACATATTATCTGTGGAAGATGACAACATGAAAGATCAGTTAGCTAGGCTCTCTTTGCATTCTATGAATGAGATAAAGTGCCTAATCCATACCGAGAATCTCCGACCTGATGTGGCTATCTTCTCCAAGTTGGTTGAACTGAAGCTTGAGTCTGTGGGTGTGAGAGAACTATGCCATGGGACTTATCCTGTTGACTTTTTGAAGCAAATAAAGGAGCTGCATTTATCTAGATGTAAACAATTGGAAGGCACGTTATTTGATGGCAAGTTAGAGCTGTGTAATCTTAAGTCCATATATTTAGATGAATGTTCAATGACATGCCTTTTTCATGCATCCACGGCACAGAGTCTAAAGCAGTTGGAAAAACTAGATATTACAAAATGTTCGAAGTTGAAATACATAGTAGCAGAGACTATGGATGATCAGGATCCTAATCAAAAGAGTCATGACTCAATGTTGGCAAAATTGAAATATCTCAGGATCAACTCCTGTGCTAAATTAGAATTTATATTGCCAATATGCTTTTGCGAAGACCTTCCACTACTAGAAAGTATGAAGATTGAAGGTTGTGAGAAACTAAAATACGTATTTGGGCAATATCCAAAGCATAGAGATTTGCACCAAATGGGGAAAGAAGCCATCCTCCAGTTGCTAGAAGAATTGACAATTTATGAGGTACCGAATTTCATCAACATATATGCAGAATGTTATCTCCCACGGCCTTGTTCTGATGAAGTTCAAAAGTCATCTCCAAGTGCAAAAGTAGACAGCAGTAGCAGTCTATCAAGGGGTCATCTATGTTGTTTTTGGGCAAAATCAAAAGCCTCAACTATACGTCACACTTCTGCTCCCATGGACACTCAATCAAACCATAATCAGGTAATATCTGTTACTCTATTTTGTTTTAAATCTTTATTTGTAATAATGTATGAATCACCCAAATATGCTTTGCTAAACTTCTTCTTGTATATATGATGAGAATATCAATTTGTCTTAAAGTAACAAAATTAATTTTGCATTTCTCTTTTTTCCCATCTAATTGAGACACTAGGCACAGTTGGCAAAAACCAAAAAATTCGCTCAAATATATGCTGCAAATTACTTGCACGTTTTTTTTTGGCACATTATATTTACACTGCTTTGGGTCTTCCTCTGTACGCTACCCACCCGAAAATTTGTCTGTTTATAAATTACTGATTGTAGAAGAACTTAATTTTGTTGGGAAAATTGGGGGAAGGACCCAAAAAAAGTAATATTTACTAAAAAAGATCTGATTATAAGAAGCAAATACTAAAATATAAATTTAAAATATAATAAATTATCCCTAAGTCCCTAACAATCCTTAATTTAAACTAAAATTTTTAATAATCCTTTTCTCATCAATATTTGAAACGAAATTTATTAAAATCAGTCAAAATCATTTATATTAATCTATCTAAAATATCTTATATATCTAAACACACAATGAAGTAAAATCATTCATCTGCATGAATTGTGCTATCAATAGTTAATTTTTAAGCTGCAATTGAAAGCCCTCTTTTTTTCCCCCAAATATCTCTTTCTTGACTTATTTTTTATAAATCGTTTTACCATATTTTTTTTTATATATATTTAAATTTAAATGGATATATTTTAATTAATTTCAATAAATAGAATTAGAACTTTTATAAATATTTTTACCAATTTCAATTTTTGAAAATAGAAAATAATTAATTAAATAACATTATTAATATTTATTTTTACCTAAAATTTTCCATTCCCTTAATTTTAAAAGGGAGAATCCCAAAGAATTACCTTTGAATTTTAAAATTTTAAATCGGTCATGTTTGCTACACTTTTAATAGCAATTGATAACATTGGAGAAGTAAATGACAACATATTTTTGTAGTCATTTTTTATTTGAGATTTTGAAATTTTAGAGATATTTCTTAGAATTTTTTCATCTTTAAATTTTTTTTATTACCATTTACTTTAATACAAACATATCAAGATCGAGAAAAAACAAAACAAAAAGATTATAAAAATTGATAACAAATAAGAAATAGTGTGCAGATAAAAATTATAGCTATGAAAAACTTTATGAGTAATGTTTGATCAATTTGATTTCTACATTATTTTTTTGCCACCATATATCTCCCTCAAAAATCATATGAAACCAACTTACGGAGCTCATTTTTCTTCTGATTCGTTGATTTATGTTGAAAGTGATACAATTTTACTTTTAATCCAATATTGTTAAAATATGAAATTTGTTGTTATGTATTATAGGAGTTGATCCCTAAAACACGGAGGGAGCGTATGTGAGATGTGGTTAGAGAAAATTTAAGAATTTAGTTAGGAATAGTTTATTATTTTTGAAATTACAGTTTTATATTTGATCCTTATAAATAATTACAAATTTAATATCTCTTCAATAAATATTATTTTGTGTAGGTTGTTCTCTTTAATTTTCCCCAATTTGTTCATATATAGTAGATCTTTCTTGTAATATCAGAAAAGTTTGAACATTAAGCCTGTACCATAACTTGTACCATTCGTTTTCAATTGATGAAAGACGAAGAATCCTCACATGTTTGTATGGAATACAGGCATTAAAGGTGAAATATGTTGTCAACAGAGCTCATGGTCTTTTCACGCCACCATTATACCCATGTAGAAGTTTGAGAAGGATACGGATAGTTGGATTTTCTGAGTTAAAGTCACTCTTTACGCCATCCATTGCCTCATCATTGAAATTGCTGGAATGGTTGGAAGTTGGAAATTGCGATGCACTAGAGCACATAGTAACAGATGAGGAGCATGGTCATGATCGTGGGAATGTTAACTCTATTTTCCCAAACTTACAGGAGGTTGGAGTCTATGGCTGTAGCCACTTGGAATACATATTCCCAGCTTTTTATTCAAAAGACTTGAAGCATTTAGAATCTGTGGGATCACCAGGCTGGAATGTTGACACATGTCTTTGGAGAATGCCGTGCTGATGAGAATCTCAATGTTCAGGTTGATATTAATCTCCCAGCTCTGAAAAGGCTAGACCTTGATGATTTACCAAATATGGTTGGCATTTGTGCTAAAAACTATTGTGAAGGAACTATATCTAGAAGATATTACGTTGAATAATGCCCACAACTTCCTTTGAAAACTTTGATGGACTTATTGGTTGATGGGCATAAAAGACAAGAAGATCTGTCAAGGAGAAAGGTAAACCTCTTTCCGACTTCTTTTTCCAGTTAATTTATGATTGATCAACTAAGAAAATCATTAATACTAATATATCTTAATGATACCCACAGGCATTACCTCTTGAGAAGAAAGGTAAACCACTTTCCAACACGCAAGAATTGCCCAAGTTGGAGGATATTGGTGTGGAACCTATTATTTACATGAGCTTTCAAAATCTTTCCGAGCTAACAATCCAGGGATGCAAGCATTTGAAATTTATCTTCTGCGCATCTACCTCAAGATGGCTGCAAAAACTGAAAAGGTTAGGGTATCAGAGTGCGAAGAGCTAGTGAGCATTATGGAGGATGAAGAGAATCACAAAAATCCTATGACTCCGCATCAAGTATGTTTCCCAGAGCTACGCGAATAACAGTGACGCATTGCATAAGTTTGAAATGCTTGTTCCCTATGTCATGTGGTAAGCTTCCACGACTCTTGTATGTGGATATAGAAGATGCCCCTCAGCTTGGGCAAGTATTTGGATGGAAGCAGGGAGAGGGACAGAAGCTGGTCTTGGAGAATGTGCTTCCAAAACTAATTGCAATAAGACTAGTAAACCTGCCAGCTCTTCATACTATCTGTCAAGGCATTGATTTTCAGACTGTTAAAATCCGTCATGTGCGTCAATGTCCTGCTATTTCTTTAGCTTCAGCTTATTATGGTACCTTCGAAGAAAGTAAGTATTTACAGAGCTAATTCATTACAACTACTAATTGCTACAATTTGTTCTCATAATAATGTAGTTGTTTTATTTTGGCAGTGGATGCAATATACTACATCAAACACTGTCTAATGAAGACTACAATGACTACGTAGATTATATTTCTTCCTGGGCTTTTGAGGTTAGTATCAAACTTAATAAAATGGCTTAATCAGCTTAAAAGATGAAAAAAAAACAGGGAGATGAGAAATGATAATTTTTACACCAAGATTAACTAAAAATAAAATTGACCAATACATGAATAAAAATTTCCCTCGCCACTAATATTTTAGCAGAAATTCCATACCCCACCAATTTTTCCTATTTAGTGGGCTAAGATTACAATCTTTATTAATGACTTCAACTCACTATTTTCTTTATACTCTGTTCTAAGGAATTAGAGCCAACTCTGGAGAGAGACCTAACAATAGTCAGTAACAGAACAAGCGTGTGTGCTACCAAGCCAACACATCCTCTCTTACATATTATTCTTCCTTTATTCCAAATTTTAGCTTGATTTAATTCGTAAAGTTTAATGATCAGAGTTCAACTCATTTCATCTTTTCTTATATGTTTTGTGATTGTTCAGGATGAACGGGAATCCGAGCGGGCAGAGGCATCCGAGGTTATTGAAGGAGACTCCATAGTTTCACCAAAATCGCCAGAGGTACATGGATTATGCTTTTGTTGCGAAATTATAGAGAAACGGTTAATAACAATAACTACAAATTTTGGCAGAAATTGACCAATACATGAATAAAAATTTCGCTCGCTACTGATTTTGGCGGAAATTCCATACAACATCCACCGCTTTTTCCTATTTTGTGGGTTAAGATTACAATTTTGTGAATGAATAATTAATTTGCATGTCCTTATAATTTCAAACAATTTTTAATCAGGTCATTATATTTTTACTTGATTTTATTTAGGTCCTTGTAGTTTTTTCTCCTTTTATCGGCTGCTTATAATTTCACATAATTTTACCAGATCCTTGTATTTTTTTAATTTGATTTATTAATTTAGCTTAAATTAATTAAATAAATAATATTAAAATATAATTTATTAATAATAAATTTAAATTAATTTTTATTTAATTATGAAAATAATTAAATAATTAATAGTTATTAACTGATTCGAATAATAAATTATAAATTAGTTTCAATTATATTACGATTTTAGAAAATTTTATTATTATAATTCAAATTTTATAGTTATAATAATAAATAAAATATTATTATAAAATGAACATGGATATATGTTTAATTCAAAAGTTTAAAAGAAAAATTAAATAAAATTATTACCAAAGAATATTATTAGAACGTATAGAATAAAGAATAAAAAATTTCAGGGGCATGATTGAATATCAAATGAAACAATAAGAACTTGATAAAAAGTTAAAAAAAAAAACTACAAGAACTTAAATAAAAACAAGTTAAAGTATAAGGACTTGATAACAAGAAAAAAAATGAACATAATTAAAAATTAGTTAAAATTATAAGG